CACACCGCACAGTAACAAATATCTCCGCTACTTATACTGTGTGTGACACCCGCGATTAAAGAGAACTCAGACCTGAACATTCTGTGTATAACTCGTTTTAATGATAAAAAAAGTAGCAGAAGGGAATTCCTTCTACAACGGATGTCTGTTGAATGTCCTTGACCTTGTAAAATCGCTCCGCACGACACAAAATGTAGTCCGCAAAAACAGATCTCACAGTAACCCATTGGGGTGTATGTCTGATAACAAGTATCACAAAGTGTGATATCAAGATCATATCGGAAACGAAAGCGATAAAGATTTAATCTCTATACACAGTATTTGTCGTGTCATCAGATTTTATTTCGTGGAATCAAAGTGAGAGGGCTACTCCGGACTCCCGTCAATTTACATCGTGGTAATTAGCCGGAGGGGTTTAGGGGACGACAGTATTTCATTAACATACATGTTCCTGGCTACTTACACTCTTTAAAATGAAATATCGTACCCCTCCTCCCAAACGTCTCCCCACTCTATCCTGGCAGTCTGATGTATCTAGTGACTCACTGAAACGTATCAGCAAATCTATAATGATTGGCGATATAGCAACGAGAACATTAGCTGCGTTGTCATATTTTAACAATGGACATACACACACTCAGAAGAAATTTTATCAAAAGAGATAATTAGTAATGCTAAAAGAAAAAATGTGTTTTCTAAGGAGCGATAGTCAGTCTGATAGATAGAACTTTAACTTTATATTGCTCTCTGAAATACCTATGTATATAGCAGGCCAATGTAAACGGTTTTCTGAGAGCTAACATATCTTGAAGTTTTTATCCTGGGCCGTCAACTTTGAGATAACACTATTTAACTGTTATATAATTCTCTTCAATTCAGTCTTGAGCGTTGAGCTGACACTGCCATAACATACACATTCAAAAAAGGAAATCTTTGACGGTACATACACACTACGGAAGCCGTAAGGAACCAGTTTTTGGTGAACCAACAACAGTGTAGTTTTAAATCGCTAATCATGTCTCCACCCATTCAGACACTCGCTCGTTTTTTTCCCAATTGTAAACATATTTCAGTTCATATTCGTAATAGATGTGCTATTTTGACAAGCCTTGTATCATGAAAAGGAGATCTACCGACTTGCCAGTGATAAATGTCTAATTTGCCTACAAATGGTGCCTAGCTAGTCTACGAATAGTACCTACAAATGTAGGTAGTCCAAGAATATTTCCTAGCTAGTCTACGAATAGTGCCTAGCAAGTCTATGAATAGTGTCCATGAAGTCTATGAATAGTACGTAGCTAGTTTATGAATAATATCTAGCTAGCCTGTTAATAGTGCCTAGCTAGTCTATATCTATGAATGGTTCCTAACTAGACTATGAATTGTGCCAAGCTAGCCTATGCATGTTGTCTAACTAAATGTATGTGGTCTATGAATGTTGTCTAGCTAGTCTATGATTAGTACCTAGTTTGTCTGTAAATAGTGCCAAGCTAGTCTATGAATGGTTCTCAACTAGTCTATCAATGTTGTCTAGCTAGTCTATGAACGTGTCTAGCTAGTCTATGATTAGTACCTCGCTTGTCTGTAAGTAGTGCCAAGCTAGTCAATGAATGTTGTCTAGCTAGTCTATGATTAGTACCTCGCTTGTCTATAAATAGTGCCAAGCTAGTCTATGAATGTTGTCTAGCATGTCTATGAATGTTGTCTAGCTAGTCTATGATTAGTACCTCGCTTGTCTATAAGTAGTGCCAAGCTAGTCAATGAATGTTGTCTAGCTAGTCTATAATTAGTACCTAGATTGTCTGTAAATAGTGCCAAGCTAGTCTATGAATGTTGTCTAAATAGTCTATGAATGTTGTCTAGCTAGTCTATGATTAGTACCTAGTTTGTCTGTAAATAGTGCCAAGCTAGTCTATGAATGGTTCTCAACTAGTCTATGAACGTGTTTAGCTAGTCTATGATTAGTACCTCGCTTGTCTGTAAGTAGTGCCAAGCTAGTCTACGAATGTTGTCTAGCTAGTCTATGAATAGTACCTCGCTTGTCTATAAATAGTGCCAAGCTAGTCTATGAATGTTGTCTAGTTAGTCTATGATTAGTACCTCGCTTGTCTATAAATAGTGCCAAGCTAGTCTATGAATGTTGTCTAGCTAGTCTATGATTAGTACCTAGTTTGTCTGTAAATAGTGCCAAGCTAGTCTATGAATGGTTCTCAACTAGTCTATCAATGTTGTCTAACTAGTCTATAAACGTGTCTAGCTAGTCTATAATTAGTGCCTAGCTTTTCTGTAAATAATGACAAGCTAGTCTATGAATGTTGTCTAGCTAGTCTATGATTAGTACCTGGCTTGTCTATAAATAGTGCCAAGCTAGTCTATGAATGTTGTCTAGCTAGTCTATGATTAGTACCTAGCTTGTCTGTAAATGGTGCCAAGCTAATCTGTGAATATTGTCTAGCTAGTCTATGATTAGTACCTAGCTTGTCTGTAAATGGTGCCAAGCTAGTCTGTGAATGTTGTCTAGCTAGTCTATGATTAGTGCCTAGCTTGTCTGTAAATGGTGCCAAGCTTGTCTGTGAATTTTGTCAAGCTTGTATGTGAATGTTGTCTAGCTAGTCTATGATTAGTGCCTAGCTTGTCTGTAAATAGTGCCAAGCTAGTCTGTGAATGTTGTCTAGCTAGTCTATGATTAGTACCTAGCTTGTCTGTAAATGGTGCCAAGCTAGTCTGCGAATGTTGTCTAGCTAGTCTATGATTAGTACCTAGTTTGTCTGTAAATAGTGTCAAGCTTGTCTGTGAATGTTGTCTAGCTTGTCTGTGAATGCTTTCTAGCTAGTCTATGATTAGTGCCTAGCTTGTCTGTAAATAGTGCCAAGCTTGTCTGTGAATGTTGTCTAACTAGTCTATGAATGTTGTCTAGCTAGTCTATGATTAGTGCCTAGCTTGTCTGTAAATAGTGTCAAGCTTGTCTGTGAATGTTGTCTAACTAGTCTATGGATGTTGTCTAGCTAGTCTATGATTAGTGCCTAGCTTGTTTGTAAATAGTGCCAAGCTTGTCTGCGAATGTTGTCTAGCTAGTCTGTGAATGTTGTTTAGCTAGTCTATGATTAGTGCCTAGCTTGTCTGTTAATAGTGCCAAGCTAGTCTGTGAATGTTGTCTAGCTAGTATTTGATTAGTACCTAGCTTGTCTGTAAATAGTACCAAGCTTGTCTGTGAATGTTGTCTAGCTTGTCTATGATTAGTGCCTAGCTTGTCTGTTAATAGTGCCAAGCTAGTCTGTGAATGTTGTCTAGCTAGTCTTTGATTAGTACCTAGCTTGTCTGTAAATAGTACCAAGCTTGTCTGTGAATGCTGTCTAGCTAGTCTATGATTAGTACCTAGCTTGTCTGTGAATGTTGTGTAGCTAGTCTTTGATTAGTGCCTAGCTTGTCTGTAAATAGTGCCAAGCTAGTCTATGGATGTTGTCTAGCTAGTCTATGAATGTTGTCTAGCTAGTCTATGATTAGTGCCTAGCTTGTCTGTAAATAGTGCCAAGCTTGTCTATGAATGTTGTCTAACTAAATGTATGTGGTCTGTGAATGTTGTCTAGCTAATCTGTGAATGTTGTCTAGCTAGTCTATGATTAGAACATAGCTTGTCTGTAAATAGTGCCAAGCTTGTCTATGAATGTTGTCTAACTAGTCTATGACTGTTGTCTAGCTAGTCTATGATTAGTGCCTAGCTTGTCTGTAAATAGTGCCAAGATAGTCTATGAATGTTGTCTAGCTAGTCTATGAATGTTGTCTAGCTAGTCTATGAATGTTGTCTAGCTAGTCTATGAAAAGTACCTCGCTAGTCTATGCATATTGCTTTCCTATAGCTAGTCTATGAAAGTTTCCTTGCTAGTCTACAAATGGGCTTGCTATATAGTCTACAAATGTGCAATATACCTACATTTAGCTACGTGAATAGTGTCTATCTTGCTTAGCTAACACTCATGGTTGGGGAAGAATTTCTATAACAGTAACCCCCACAAGTTAAAAAATCACTACATGTTTACTTCCAATGTACAGGTAAGTTAAATAAGATTTTACAGTGAGATTACACGGGGAAGATAAAGCAAGTAATATAATTTTGGTTTGGTGGAACTCATCCGATTAAGGGGAGATAATTAGCTTCGAACGTGCAGCATGATGCAAGGGTAAGAAACATATTTGGATTTATTGTTAATTTGGCTTGGGGTTTCTTTATTCCTCCGTTCCTGATGATAAAAGACACGTTCTAACAGTAGAAAAATCTTAACCACACCTTGATATATCCCAACTTGGCTGAGTACTTTACTTTTGCCGATGTTTTTAATGTAAAATCAACTATATGGATGCCAATATCTAGTCATAATCACATAGAACTAATCCGAGGGGAGCGTTATGTCAAACAAAAATATTTAGAATATTCAATTTAGAATTAGGACAGAAAGTCTACGAATTCAGAAATGGCGCTTGGAGTTGTTATTTATATATATAAGTGTATGACCTCAAGTTCGTCATACATATGCACGTGCATATTACGCACTACATGTTGCCAGAGCCACCAATCATCGGAAAATAAATCAAAACTTGGCGAATCTCGATACTATTATATATATGTTTATTATTTTATGCATGTTGTGAAAGACATAAATACATGTTTTTTTTCAAACTAACAACGATATATTGAATAAATTACTGAGCTTATCTTGGATTGGCTGGCACTCAAATGCATTTGGATTTGACAGGTATAAGAACAGAACAAAAGCGTACTGGATTCTTAACACGCTGTTGTGACGAAATATTGTACATTAAAAATATTGATGGCTTAAAAACAACATGAATAGTAAAAAACAAGCATTCCTGACTCAAATCCGTTATCTCATCGATGACGTGTAGCTGACGCTAGCTGTTTAGGCATGGCTGTTTATTGTTAATCGTGCGGCGGTTTGTGAAAGTTTAGGAAACATTCTCTGTGTCTGAGACATTCATGTCCAACTGAAAGAAGGTCGTCGGCGGAAGTTACCACAGTGTAAGTATACAAGAGCATGCGCATGGGCACGCATACTATGTTACTGTATAAAACATGAAAAGACCCTTCGTGTTTTCTATTTTAAGAATGTCTGAGTTTCTGGGTTTAACAAACTTTCTGATATAATTTGTTTGTTTACACATATTGTATTGCCAAAATTGTGACAACAGGATTGGGCACAAGTTATTACAATATTATTTACGCCCTTTCCTCAAATATATACATCAGATTTACAAAAATGGCACAACTGGGTATTAAATAGTATGTATCATAGAAGCATTACAACAACAGAAACAAAAAGAGAAAGAACAACATTGAACAGTGTCACAAATAGAGTATAGAAGTATAAAATGCCTTACGAACTTAAAACCTACCCTGATCTTTATGAATTTTGCACGTTACGAAAAATATCATTATTTTGTTGAGAAGACAGATCCGGAATACCAGATAACAATACATCAAGGAGATTTCAGTAACAACATTTAGATTTTGAAACAATTCAAACCTCTGGTGTGTATAAACTGGACATTCAAATAAAACATGATAGGCGTTTCCACAGACACAGGCGGGACTATCTACGATATTGACTCTAAATAAATCATAATTTAGGGAACTGTAGTTGTACCTTAATTTACTGTGAATGATATTTAGTTTTCGTTCACCATAACCGAAATAACTGGGCGATTTGGTGTCCAATTCTCGAGAGATGGCTTTTTTGAATTTTCCTAAAGTGACTGATGATCTTTTAGCAGTATCTTAATTGTTCCAAGAGCGAAGCGTAGAAGGTAGGAAGGATGAATTTGTACTAGAAAGTCTGAAATTTGGTATCACTAAGTCAATACTGTTTCTTAAAGGATATCTGACATTTTCGTTTACTGTATTGGGTAGAATTTTGTTTAAGATTTCAGGGGTGATACCATTTTTCATTTTGTACAATAATTGCAGTTTCCTTCTTTTTCTCCTGTCTGAGAGTCTTTCTAACCCCTATTCAAAATAGAGAGCATAATTACTAGCATAGGAAGGAAGACCAGTAATGATACGTGCGGCTTCACATTGACTTCTAACCTCTTACTTTCATTAATTGTACATCCGTCCCATAATTCACAACAGTAATCAAAAATTGTCAAAATAAAAGAGTTATATATTTTCAACAAAGTTTCTCATTTATTTTCTTCATAACGGATGTATAAATAGCTATAATAGTACCCCCCCCCCCCCAATTACCTGCAGAATTAAAGACTACACCCAAATGCCAATTTGTTTCGACAAACGACACTAATATGCAAGTCCGTCGGTCTGTCTTCGTCCCTCCACCAGCGGTTTGTCCTTATCTCAATTTAGTTTGACACACCATTTTTTTGTGTTTTATGTTTATATCACTCCAATATGTGTATGTGTTGTTTCTTTAACCTCGGACAGGAAAATCCACCGTTTTGTCAGTCGGAATCCTTTGTCCACATTATACATTAAATACTTATACTTGTTTGATTTTAAGACTCAAATCAATAGTTCAACAATGTTAAAGCTATTGTTTGTCCAGGGAACTGTATTTTGTGCGGCGATGTTGCAGATCAAACGCAACTAGCATTATTCAAGACCAGGAAAAAACAGGTGGTAAAACATAAAATAATGATGTGTTAAAATAATATACATTCCCAACTTTGGCTTCAGACAGAAAAATCTAAACCTTTGGGGTAAACTCCTAAATATCAAACCTCGGCAAAGTATCAAGTGAGAATCCTTTGGGTTGGGATTGATTATTTTGCTCCAAAGTGGATAAAATTCGAACGGTAAACAATTATCAATTATCTGCCTTATCCGTATCCGGACTAAACATACTCCCTGTTTATTTTCGCATTAAGTAATATCATCGTCCTTTCGATGATACAGTGATAATATATAACGTATTTTGGTTATTTTGTCCCTGACGTCAGCAAAGAGGACTCGCTAATTTGCAGGTAATTACAGATAGTCATTAACTGGTTTGAACATAAGACAGACTGACTTTTACGTCCCTGAATGTGTGTGTAGATAGAGCTCTGTAAAGGCAGACACTAGTAACGCGATCGCATTTAACGCGTTGACGTAGAGCTTTAACTCGATTGTATTTAACGCGTTGACGTAGAGCTCGCGTTTGTTTTTAACGCGTCGACGTAGAGCTCGCGTTTGTATTTAACGCGTTGACGTATAGCTCGCGTTTGTATTTAACGCGTTGACGTAGAGGTCGCGTTTGTATTTAACGCGTTGACGTAGAGCTCGCGTTTGAATTTAACGCGTTGACGTAGAGCTCGCGTTTGCATTTAACGCGCTGACGTAGAGCTCGCGTTTGCATTTAACGCGCTGACATAGAGCTTTAACGCGTTTACGTAGGACTTTAACTCGTTTGTATTTAACGCGATTCGCTTCTGTACTAATTTAACGCACTGCATGTAACTGTTTACGCGTTTACTATGAATACGTTAAACAGTTTTTCAACGCTCTAACTGCTAACGCGTAAAATGCGAACGCGATAGGTCTTGATGTTTTTTTTTTTTATATCTAAACGTATGTATGACATCCCTCCGATACATCAGTACAAAGGACCAAGGGGGGAGGGGGTAAATGGTTAAAGAATGGGCAATTGTTATCTTAGCGTACCCTTCTTCCCATTCTTGTTCCTTCGGGATACCCCAAGGTAACCCCATAGGCCCCACTCTCCCGCCGGGAATTCCCCACGCTATCAAGGTGCTACATGCAGAAGGTCAGTTACAAAATGTACCTGTATCGGCAACAGGTCAGCATACAGATTGATAGCTTTTCTAGGGACATTTGATCTACTTATGGTCGGTAGAGGTAATTGCTTATCTGTGAAAATCTGTTGACCCTACTGTAAAAGTTTATTACTCCTGCAGACCATGCTATTCGTTTGGAATATTTTTTTTAAAGCACACAGCTATTATAGAAATACATATGTATATAATAACACAATCCAAAATGTATGTGACATATTAAGACAAAAGTCTAAAAAGTTTTGCATAAACATTTGTTTAAGGCTTTAATAAATATGTTTTACTTATTCGACATTTTACGTTTATCAAAATTTAAATATAGTTATTTACATATGAAAATGAAAATATTAAATAATTGTTTAATTTGTTTACAAGGAGTACGCTAGTATGGTCACTACATCCCTATTTGGTCATATGCCAGTACATTTATTTGACCTTGTGATTGGTCCGAGACAAAGGTCACGCTTCCTATATGAACACATTACAATCATTATCACGTCAGTTCAAAGACGAGGACGTCGAACAATTTAATAATGTGTCCTAAATAGACGAACTAACTTTACTAGGAAAAGGTTGTCTACATACAGTGAATGATATAAACCATTTAAATCTGGTTTCCGTGAGTATACCGTCTTACGTAATTACCAGTTTTACCAGAACTCAAGTGTCAGCTAGGTTTGTCGCATTAGAATCGCAGGACCGATAGGCATGCGTGAAATGAAATGCTCACTAATGGTAGATGTTTATCGAATCTAACTTATCAGCAGTCTAAGCATAAATTACACGACAAAAAATAAAAACAGTTACGCTAGCATTTATTAAGACCGTTAGTTTGAGTAGTGTTTATTCAGAGTCGTCCCTGAAAACGATACTACCAGATTCTTGAGGTTTTCTCGTTAACGTTGTCCCGTAAAACCATAAGAAACGTAAAAAGTAGACAAATTTTTTATAAGAATTAGCTCACAGCTTTAGGTACGCCTATCGCCTAATTACATAATAATTAATAATTTTTCCGAGATCTTGTAAAAATCCCCAAGCCTGCCACGAGCTAGGTATCAGCCCATTGAGAGGCGAGTGTTTTTTTCTCGTTCTGTATGTATGCGTGAGGGGTATTGGTACCGACAGTTATAAAATCTCAGATAGGACGCTGGAGGGAAACATGTGTAGCGCTATGATAGCCGCCACCCTCCCTTTGTATCTCCTCCCCAGCTCCCTGTCCTAATGGAGTTTACACGTACAGCGGATTAACTATACCTTACGCTTGTGACCTATTTTAGCGTGGATTATCTTAATATCTGAAATTTTGTTTGTGATTCTTTCTCTGGTGGAACATATCATGATTTTTAAGATCCGTTCAGACTGTCCGTGGAACTGGTAAGTAAACATTTGTTTTCCTGGTGAGATTCATATATTCCAATTTCCCCCCTCCCTCTACCCCGAAAGTTTTAAATCATATTTTCCAAACTCAGCAAATGTTAGCAAAATCAAATAAAATCTCCATGCATGTTTTGAAAATGTCTGCATTTAAATTTTAAAATTCGTTGGCATGAAGTCATGTTTAAAAGCAAAAAATCATTCAAAAAGACGACAGCAACTTGTATAACACTTTCATTGTGTTGTTTCTATATCCATCAAGAAACTTGTCATGTATTCATTACGGAGAACAAGAAACAGAAATAAACAGATTGTTGTTGGGTGAAATATTTGGCCGGCAAGCACGTGTAATGAGAAACATTCGTACACTTTAGGCCACATGATATTTACATCTCGACTGTCAGACAATGTGCCTCATTCAGTCGATTTCACATACAATTGAAATGCATTGCCCGGATACATTTCGTCCCGTCAGATATCTACTTCGATGTCTACTCCTCATTCGGCAACGTGAACAAACACGTTAAGTCAATAAGGTCGAAATTCGGATTCTCATCAGCGTTTTAACTTTCAAGTTTATATCAGATCATATCGCTCGAGAGATTTATTGAACTGCATGTACACTTAAACCATAGCACATTTCGTATGCATTCAATTATAAGACCTTCAATTGAATTAAGTGTAATAATAAAGGGCCGTTGCTTTTTGAATTAAACATTAAATTGAGACATCATGCACGCCTAATAGAAATATTTTATCAAATTCGTAACTTATACATATTTATTTCCAATGAAGCAACTCATCATTGGATGGCGTTGTGTGATACTATTGACGTTTTGGACTTTATCTGTTGGATGC